TTAGCTCATAGAACTCTCAGAACACTGAGACAAGTATCATTATTCGTAGATAAGGCAAGAAGCAGAGAGGGGTTAAGAGACTCGCCCAAGATTCCACAGCCAGGAGAGAAAGGGCTGGGATCCAAACTCCAGCAGGCACCTTACAGCCTGCTCCCTTTCAGGCATTAGACCACCACTGAGCGGAAACTATCATAGTCAGCATAACCTAGAGGGAGATATAGAACAGAAAGCAGCAGCATTATCTTCCTGTGGTCCCAGGAGAGCTAGGCAGTGAGGTATGTGCCTAAGGCAGATATGGGGAGAAGAGAGGAGGAGGAGGAAAGGAAATGGGAAACTCAAGAAAGGGGCAGGTAACAGTGAGGTGGATCTAGGAAATGGCAGAGAAAACCCAAAACCTGACTGAGGTACCATTTCTGCTCTACAATATCCAAACACATTCTACGACATTCATTCTTCTGCCTGTCAGCCCTACCCCTTCTACAGCATCTACAGCCACACCCCAAGTCCAAAGACTAACATGCTGACAGAAGCTGATTTCACTGTCCTAGTACATCATGGGTATCAGAGAACAGCCCAATAAAGAAATGAGCAACAGCACAGTAAATGAGGGGAGAACTTCATGACAAACACACACCCCGTACCCTTGAGGACAAAGTTAACACCTGGGAATAAAACTATTCCCTCCATGGGACTTCCCTGGTGGCGCAGTGGTTAAGAATCCGCCTGCCAATGCAGGGGACACAGGTTCAAGCCCTGGTCCGTGAAGATCCCACATGCCGTGGAGCAGCTAAGCCTGTGCACCATAACTACTGAGCCTGTGGTCTAGAGCCCGCGTGCCACACTACTGAAGCCCACATGCCTAGAGCCTGTGCTCGTCAACAAGAGAAGCCCCTGCTTGCCGCAACTAGAGAAAGCCTGCGCATAGCAATGAAGACCCAACGCAGCCAAAAATAAAAGAAACAAAACAAAACAAAAAACAACTATTCCCTCCATAAAGAACTCTGAGTCAAAATGAGAGCTTACAGCCATGTGACTGTGCCAACCTCCAGTGCTCCTAAAACTTCTCCTCGGCCACTGCACTGCTTTCAAACAAACTTCAACAGAGGCATACTCACTGTAGTGACAGAAAAGAATAAGGCTAAACAACACAAAGCAACTCTGATCATTCTTCTACTCGGCATCAGAAAGTTCAGAGTTGGGGGCAGGAAAAAGGAGATGGGCAAACAAATGCAGAGGCTGGGGAGAAGACTCCCTATCCACTTGAGTCCTCATCAAGCATCGCAGAGTACTACAAATGTCAGGGAAACGTGTACTTGTAGTTTAGAATACCCCTCCCCTTGTTTTAATAGTCTAAGGAGCTCTCCCCAGAAAAAATGTGCACTTTTTGCTCTCTAAGAGGAACAAATAAAAAAGCTTTCGGTGTGAACTCAGCTCCAACCTCCTTCAAGATGCAAACTCTCACTTCCTCAAAGAAGTATAGTGCACTAAAAGGAAGGTTGTGCCAGAGAGCCAAGAAATCCAGCCCCTAAAATGCTATTCCCAGGAAGCCCACTGGCTTCTCACTAGTAAATTAACAAAAGCTATAAGCTCTCTGGGCTCCTCATATGAAAAAAAGGCAATGCAAGAGGCAAAGTTCTGACTCATTCTATAAATTGAAGAGATGCACAGCTAATAACTTCTTCCTTTTCTCCCTTCTTTACAAAGCAAAACCCAACCTGTCCCCCACTCAAGGGTCAATTACTGCTGGAAGCTTCTTTGCTGGCCTAAGTATCCAGCTGAAGGTAAACTGGCAATCACACCCAAGTCAGAATAATGGGCAAACACACAAAACAAGTTAACCTTACTTAAATATTAACCCACAGTTTTTGTTTTTTTAATTTAAAACAAGCAAAAGTAATGACAGGCAAAGTAGATACTCTTAGAGAATACAAATATACAAATGGCCTGTGCTCTGATCAACTTCGTATAATTAAACACAGTCCTCACTCGTCTTAAATTGCTTAATTGCTTGAGAAATGTGTCAGGCTCCCACAAACTCTACTCAGTTTTTTTTTTATCCTACTCAGCATGAACTGGAACATATGGCAAAAATGATAAATTTTTTTAAAAAATTGAAAATGTAAACAGAACTACACCTTGATTAAAATTAAAACTACTCCCTGGGACTTCCCTGGTGGTGCAGTGGTTAAGAATCCACCGTCCAACGCAGGGGGACGCGGGTTTGATCCCTGGTCAGGGAACTAGATCCCACATGCATGCCACAACTAAGGAGCCCGTGAGCTGCAACTAAGGAACCTGCTGGCTGCAACTAAGGAGCACATGTACCACAGCTAAGGAGCCCACGAGCCACAACTAAGGAGCCCGCCTGCTGCAACTAAGACCTGGTGCCACCCCCAATTTTTTTTTTTTAATTAAAAAAAATCTACTTCAGAAAGAGTTCTGGAGAGTGAAGCTAAGTGTGAATAAGTAGCATAAACTTAGATGTTAGTTTGTGCTTGTGTTTTTAAGGCTTTACTGAGGAGGATAAAAAGTGTCTTCCCTCTTTTCAGAGGTCCCTGAACAAACTGCAGTCAACAACTGGCATTTGCCTTCAAGATTAAGCAAGATGGAACAGAATCACAACCAGTGCTCTCCATCTTAACATTACAGGCCTACCACAGCAGCAAGGATCAGAGATGGGCGTGGCATGAGGGGACAATGACAAAAGGACCAGGATAACACCATGACGGTAATAACCCTGAAGGCAGCTAACATTCTGTGAGCTCTGACTAGATGCCACTGTGCTAAGCGCTTGACGTGTGCTACTTCATTCAATCCTCTCCATACTCCTAGGAGGCTAGTCCTACCTCACGGATTAGTAAAGCAAGGCACAGAAGTAACTTTTCCATGTCAGCACAGCGCCAGCACAGACCATCCCAATTCCCCACAGTGAACTGGATCCAGTCTACAGTCAAACCACACCAACTAATAGCTGTGGCACTAAATAAGCAAAACAGATTTACCCTGTGACAAAAGCTGTAGGTCAAGGAGCATGAAGAATGAGGCAATACTGCCTCGAACAGCATGCTTCAGGACAGAGTGCAAAAACGGATCAGCTAAACAGCCGAAACCAACCAAGTGGCTGAAGGTGGCACACAGAGATAAAATGCAGGCAAGTGCTGTTCCCCTCCACAGGATTAAAGCTGTCACCTACAGTGGCTGAGGCTCTTTTAAACCTTGTTATGTAAGGACAGAATTACTGTTCCCTAGGACTGTCCACTATTTAAATCTTTGGTCCTTATCAACTTCTTGAATGACAATTCCATTATATTTGCAATGTGTGGGGTAAGTAACTTTCTTTTTTACCCCTTAGGTTTCAAAAGGCATGCCACCCTGGTCCAACTACTCAAGGATTTGATCCGCAAGTCTGAACGCCCATCACTGTCAATCTCCTCCCTCCTTTCTCAGATGAAAGCTCCAACACCACACCCATAATATTAGGTGTTACATGTGTGCCTTTTTGTGCAACATAACACTTTTTTGGCCAGTAGTGGATACAGTACTCCAAGAACTGAGCAACCTGAATTTGTACAAAAGTTGAAGTGATGCTTTCTCCTTAGTTTCTAATCCTCTTCCACTGATGTCTTCAAGGGACCATCAACAATAGTTTCTGGACCCATTTCCTATATTGTTATTGGGGGCTTAAGGCCCTAATATCTTGTCACTAAGATGTTGTTTAGATGTTTTGAAACAAATACATTACTTTATACCTGCCCACAACAAATCTCACTCTCACAGCATAGGGAGATTTGGGTGGAGCAGGGAGATACACATGCACTCAACCTAAACTTTCTTTTAAGTATCACGTAGTATATAATGAATTTTCATGTTAAAAGGACCTACTCCTCCCATCTCACGTATAATAAAGATTAAGGGGACACCATAACCCAGCAGCCAGGGCATGTGCACAATAAAAAGGGCAATATATGTCCAAAACCATGATCTGAGAAGAAATGGGAGTCAGAAGGATAAAACATTAACGAAATACAGATTTTAGAAAAAAGTGCAATCAAATTAATATGTTGCAAAAAACTTGCAGTCTGGGAAGTTTTAAGATATATAATAAGAAGAAAAGATTTTTCTACAAAGCAAGCATAGAAGCATGGACTTGGCTGGAAACAGACACTACAAAAATTAAACTCCTTCATGATCATAGCCACTGAACTTGAGTTCTCCCCTAAGAAAAATTAGATAAATGCCTCCCCCGTCCAACAGTACAAGTAACAAAGGGCCGACGTGCTAAGCATATAATCAGCTAGGCTATGAAAATCACGGTTCCCCAATACGAGCTGGAATATAACCGCTAAAACTCAATCAGTAAAAACACAAGGATCACAGTACCTAGGTAACAGCTGCACAACTGACCCTGAATCACAGCTTAGTTGGAACCGGGCAGAGTCCTCAAGATGCACACTGAGATTAGCGACTCCTTCAGAGCCCTCAACCGCTCTGCCTCCCCCTCCCACTCTACCCAGCGCCAGAGGGCACTAGGTCAAAGACTTCTTGCGCAGCACTTGGTGGAGTCCCAGGGCCTCACAAGCGCTGATTAGGTAACGTTACCAAATGCTACAAAAGTGCTGACTACTATTATTCTTTGTAACTCAACAAGCAAACACTGGGAGAGGAGAAAAGACCATTTAGAGGGCAGAAAACTGCTCTGACAACGGCTGCAGAATTATAAAAAACTAATAAAATTAAAACTGATCGCAGTGCGGGTCTCTGGAAGCCAACCGTCGTAAACTGAGGCTCAGCCCAAGAACACTAGATCTTTGGGGGACTGCAGACTAACAGGCCCAGACATTTCAACTACACGGGGGAGGGTCGGGGTGGAAATTCCGCGGCGCCAGCGTGAACGCTGGCCTCCGGGCCTGACAACCCCCGCCGGGTCGTGGCCCGCCAGCGCTTTCCTGTTAGGGTGGGGCAGCAAAGCGAGCGGGGAGCGCTGCCCGAGGACTGCCCACCTGGGCGATGCCGGCGCCCATCAGCCCGCCGCCGATGACTGTCACGTGTTTGACGAGGATTTTCTTCGCTGAGGCCGCGGCGGTGGACGAGGAGGACAGGGAGCGCACGAACTGCCTGGTTACGAAAGCCATGCTGCAGACGGCGAAGAGGGCGACAGCGACAAGACCTGGCGGAGAAGACACCCTCACCCAACACCTAACAGCCAGCCGACCTCTGGGGGCGGAAGCCCAAGAGCCCCGCGGCCCGCGCGCCCTGGGCGACGCCGTGACGTATTCGACGTCGGGGGCGGAGCCTCGAGGCCCGCTTTCCCCATTGGCGGAGGCCGCAGGGACGGCGTTCGAACGTCCGAGCGCGGCGTCCAAGCCCACGTGGACTGGGGCGGGCCGCCGCCCTACTCTAAGGAGCAGGTCTACCCAGGCTGCCGACGCAGCTGGTCGTGTGCTGGTGAGTGGTTAGCGTTCCGATACCGGACCCAGTGCAAGCCTTTCCTCGCAAAAGCCACGGGCTCCTTGTAAGGGGAAGTCCGTGGTGTTGCCTTGTTAACTTCTCCCTTTTGATCCTTGTGCATAACTCGGCGCCGAATAAATACGTGTTATTTGGCTGTGGTGATGAGGGAGCCCAAAATGAGCACCTTCCGTACGTGTCACCAAAAACGAAGTCTAGGGATTATTTTAACCCGGTGCATATTGTTCCTGCTAAAAACGGAAGGAAACAAACTGCTCACACCCAAAGCAAATGTCTAGAGACCCGTGAGTTCTAATGCAAAAATCAGGCCCACTAAGGGAAAG